CTCAAGGCTGCTCTCTTTATGGGAATGGTTAATTAACTTCACTGCTCTCATGGGAAGGGCATTATACCATCCAATATTTTAAGCTCGTCAACTTCTAGGAGCTCAACAGACCCGCCGCCTCCCCCCACACTTAATAGCTCAGGAACCTAAGGAGGATAGAGTTGGATTGAGAAGTGACTGGCTGAGTAGCAGCTCACGCAAAAATTCCTGCATTTGCAGTTTTCCTGTCTGTCCATGTGTGTGTGTTTTAGGTGGAGTTGACCTGTTACATGAGTTTTCATTTGCGTCCATTAGTTTTACAGTGTTTCGAAACTGGTTTTAGCAGCTTTGAGCTCTTCAAGACAAAACTTAGGTGCTGTTGTTGCGAGACTTTCTAGTGGAAGGGTACTACTTCCAGATAGATAAAAAAAATGTCGTCAATATCTGCACAGTTTATTTCCTGATTTCCTTTTGCTGTTGCATGGTCATTTTATGATTGTGAGGTTGGCAGTCATGTTTCAAAACACAATGTTGTTTTCCTTAGGAAGTACAGAAGCAACTGTGCTTTTTGCTGTCTTGTGCCTTACAGAGGCTGTCTTGCGCAGGTTGTTCCTACAGGGGTAGGAAGAGGAGCTTTCTAAAGTTTCTCACATAAGTAATGTGTTGCACAGTTTGGTGCCCTGATAAGCCCAGTGCAATACTTGCATTAGAGCTTTGAAATTCAAAGCAGTTCCAGCATTGCACATGAGTTGCCTGGACATTGAACCAGCGTTCAATTTTTATGTTTCTTTAAGATGATGACGACTACCTGCCCTCTAATAAGAGACTGAAACGCACTAGGTCAACGAATGAAGCTGACCATTCTGGGAGAAGAAAAGTGGAAGAGTGCAATGTTGNGTGTAATCCTCACCTCCTTACCCTTGTCTGGAACTGCTTCAACGCTTTTGGTAAAATATCTTTGCTTCTGCTTTTGTTGCCTGCAGTGAGTGCCAGGGGTTTCTCTGACAAATGTTAGTTTAAATGCAGAATCGTGGAGTGTTTGGTTTGAAAACCCTTTTCTGTGTCCATCATTCAGCAGCCCTGTTTTTCCCTTTCAGCTTCCTCCCAGCATGACTCGTCAGAAACAAGTGAGGATTCTGAGGTTGAATTCTCCAGTGAAGAAGGTCAGTTCAGTGGTTCATTGATTTCAGTCTGTTGGACATTTTTATATCCAAAAAATGCTTTCCAGTGCCTGGGTTACTTGTCACTGAATAAAAAGACTTATGTGCCAGTGTTGACTGCAGCTTGGACTGTGCACTGCTTAGTAAACAGATCTAGTCCCGAAGTTTTATAAAGCTATAATATGCTGAAGGATATTGGACTTCCTGGGCTGGTTTTGAAATGATGCCAGGCAGCAGTTTGCATCTTTCACGTTAATTTGAAGCGTTGGTAATGAAGAATAGTCACTGAACACACAGGATGTTGTAACTTTCATTCATTCTGAAGAACACATTGTTTTGTAAGCTCACTGTAGTTCTATAAAATTTCTGGTGAACACTCGCTTCTGGGAAGAACTGTACCAGAACAGAAAGGCTGTGTCACAGGTGGCATAAGTGAAGCCTCAATTTATTTGCCGCATAGCGATAAATACGAGAGAAAAACCTTTGTACTTGCCACTTGCCTTTCTCATCTGAATGGCGCTAAAGCCTCTGCCCAGTGTTGCTGTTGTTTTCAGTCTAGGATCTTGGTTGGGAGTCAGCTCTGTTTCTTGTGTTTGTGGATTACATGTCCTGTGACTTTTTTAAAGCACTTCTGCGTGTGGGTTTTGCAGTGCTTGCTTCTGGAATTCGATTAGGATTGAGACCACCCAGTTAGCAATTTAGGAAACAGGCAGGGGCACTTAGGACATTTCTGGCATTACTTTTACCTTTTTGTCATCCAGCAATAAAATAACTCTTACATTACCTCAACAGAAGAGGTAATAAGCGTCATGAAGTTCTGTGTATCCGTAAAGGCCTTTGCGCAAAAGTAAAAATGGTCTGAAGGGGTTTTGTCTGACGGAATATAATACAACTGCATAGGTACAAGGTGTGTCAATATGTCATGTTATTCTTGCGTAGCAAACTCCTAAGTACCTGCTATTCTTTATGTGAAATTGATTGTCTTTGTTTGTTGTCCAATACTTGCATTAGAGCTTTGAAATTCAAAGCAGTTCCAGCATTGCACATGAGTTGTCTGGACATTGAACCAGTGATATTTTTATGATTCTTTAAGATGATGATGACTATCTGCCCCCTAACAAGAGACCGAAATGCACTAGGTCAACTAATGGAGCTGACAATTCTGGGAGAAGAAAAGTGGAAGAGTGCACTGTTGGTAAGTGTAGAGTAAGATACACGCAGGTATCCCCCTAAAAGGTAAAGGCATTGGAATGATCCCAAAAAAGCTTTATTTCCAAGGTAAGAAGACAAAAACTTACAAAGCAAAATCTTCCCCAGCTGAGGAAAATGCTGGGCCTGAGAAACTCCTGCCTCCTGATCTCTGCCAAGCTTGTTTTCTTCTCTGTCCTCCTCCACCCAGGCTCACCGCCAGCATGGCCTGTAACACCAGTGAGGGTTTCTCTCTCCTCAGCCCAGAGAGAGAGACTGCA